AGAGAGAGAGAGAGAGAGAGAGAGAGAGAGAGAGAGAGAGAGAGAGAGAGAGGGAGAGAGAGAGAGAGCGAGGAAGACGTGTGAAAACATCTTCGAGGCTCTAGTTAATGTACGTTTTTAATAGAAATACTGTAGTACTAATTCCTTTCAGTTATATGTTACATAGCACGAATAATTCGATCACATTTAATATGTTTGATATCATTTGACATGGTATTCAGATTAAGTTTATTATTGAAAGAGTTAATTGTTTTTTTATCTTCACGCAGTCGATCCCACTAGGACTTAATTATTCACACATCATCGGATTATTGCCTCAAAACAGGAAAAAAAATCGATTTGGAAATGTTATTCCATGTAAGTAGTGTTTGCATTTTACCAAATGTCACCATACGTCGTATTTAAACGTTGTTTCACGAACGTATTCGGCACACAGCTTCGTGTTAAAACCCGCATTATTCGAGAGATGAATCTCACGTCACGTTGTTAGGACGCTTACATTATACTGTGCTGTAAATAACTACAATTGATATAGTACGCAGTAACTGAATTATTATGTGTACTGTTATTATGTCCCGGTTATTGTCAGCAGTTATGTCATGCAGAAACCGAGATAATCCAGTGATTCCTCAATCAAATTAGGAATAAACTTCTTTTCCCTTGCTGCATGTAAGCTCTTGCTTTCCAAATATCTTATTTTTACTAGAATCATAGGGTAATCCTGTGTGTTTTAATTGTTACTGAATATCATTATATGCGCAGATGACCACTCCAGAGTGATTCTGGAGCCAGCCGTCAATTCCACGGGTGATTACATTAATGCCAGCATTCTACAGGTTAGCATCATCGTCATCGAAATATCAACACGAAAACATACAAACAAACTCGTCCTTATCACGGATATCAATGTAATATCGATAATAGTAATAAGTGTATCTAAGTAAGTCACAGTCTAATGAGCCGTGTATATATATACATATATATCGTATTAAAAAAACGGCGTTTTCTTGTAGTACATGTCTCGTTTTTTGATTCGTGTTAATATTGAATTCGACTAGACACATGGCTTCATAATAATTAATGAGTTTGATTTTCTGATTTACTTGTTTAGGGATACTCGACAGACTCTGTCCTTCTGGCGGCTCAAGGTAAGAATAGAAAAAGAAGCGCACAACACCCCGACACACACAAACACACATACACACACACACACACA